CGGACTTCAAAACTCTGGAAAACCCAGAATGTGTTCTTGAGCTCCAATTCGGTTTTCAAGCCACAATACTTGCTCGCAATGGCTCAAATCTCAATATAATCATATCAACATGGTACTAATGCAAGATTATAACATGGTACTAATGCAAGGTTATAACATTATAGAGCTCAATTTCTTGATTTATCTACGTGCATGTCCCAAAATATGTCAAACTCAACACCAACATAACAGCTCATGCATCCAAGCTCATATCTTCTCAAATTGTACATGCATGTGATGAATTAGCCACACTCTCAACTTAGGTAACACAAATGGTGATCAAGACAAGAGTTTCCTTTAACATTTCACATGGATTATACACGTTTGTGCTCAAACATACGATATCAAGGTGATTTCCTACATGCATGCACATAATAAGCTTCAATTCAACAAATACAACCCAATTTCATTTTAACCTTACTCTTGATCACCAAATTAGCTTGAACACACAAAATAACAAACTATACTCCAAGAATTCAAACCAAAACAAACATAACTTTTAGGATTAATTCCCAGACTAAGTGAAGTCTCCAAGATTCCCAAGCTTTAGGCCAAATTTGCACAATTCTCTCCTCTCTCACTCTAACAGCCGGCCTTGCCTCTCTCTAGAGAGTTGATCAGCCCAAATGAAGTTAAAGGAAGGGAATTGAGTGTAACATGCCTTTACATAAATCCCCACTCACAATAATAATAATAATAAAGTAATTTGGCATTATTCATCAATTTAATCGATTTAATCTAACCCGAATCAATTTCTAATTAAAATTCACCGTAGGCTCTAAAAATTATGCCAATCACAATGGCGTAATCACTTTCGGGTTCTGTGGCCGATAAGGCCCTCAATTTAATTTCCAAAACAGATTATTCAGACAGGTATTCCTACGGTGAACAGATAAGACTTCAAAATCACAAACATTCACATAATGGCGCATAAAATCATGCTAAACACATAATCATACTCAAATTAAGGACCAATTAGCATACTACGGGACAAGGGTATCACAGTCTTCCCCCCTTTAGGAAGTTTGGTCCTTCAAACTTAATTTACCTTCGTCGGGAAACAAATGTGGATAGCGTAGACGCATTTCCTCCTCTTTTTCCCATGTAGCATCTGTCCCATAGTGTTCCTTCCATTCATGCATTGGTAGTGGAATGGATTTGTTTCTCAATTCTTTCACTTGTCGGTCAACAATTCTTTTCGGCCATTCAGCATATTCCATATTTTCATCAATAGCAACCCGGTGATAATCAATCACATGCAACGGGTCTCGGAGGTAACCCCTCAACATTGACACATGAAATACATTATGGATTTGCTCAAATCCCGGTGGCAAGGCAACTCTATAAGCAACTGGACCGAGTCTCTCCAAAATCTGGAACGGCCCAATGTAACAGGGCGACAATTTGCCCTTTTTCCCAAATCTGACTTGGCCTTTCATCAGGGAAATACGGATGAACACATGGTCACCAACCTCATACTCAAGAGGTCTTCTTCGAATGTCTGCATAATTCTTTTGTCGGTCCTGAGCTGTTTTTGAGACTTTGACAAATAGTCTTGATTTTCTCAGAAGTGTCTTGTACAATTTCTGGCCCAAGCAAAGCTCTATCCCCGACCTCTGTCCAACAGATAGGTGATCTACACCTCCTACCATACAAAGCGTCGTATGGTGCCATACCAATGCTAGAGTGGAAGCTGTTATTATAAGCAAATTGAGCACTCCCGCTCGCCCGATCAAAAATCGACCTCTACTAATCATGATGTGATTCTTATTTACATTATATGCTCTTGTTATGATTATTAGACTAACTTTACTATGTGTTGCACCTAAGTATAGATTAATTTGCAAAAATTGAAACATTTGATTTCAAGTTTGTTTTTGAAAATTGTTTCGAATATCCACTTAAAAAAGTGATCTCGTATGCACATTACCCAAATTATTCCAATTTAAGCAATTAGCTTTTTTCCACAAGCATTCAAACAGATATAGCATTTAAGCACTTAGCCTCATGGAATTCACACTTATCATGGTGACAATCACGCGCATGCAATATGCCTAAACAATAAATGCTTACCCTAATTCTCGAGGCAAGTCAAAAGAGAAACTAGTTAGAAAGATGCATGGTCCTAACTAATGCAAAATGTGCCTAATGCAATACATATAAGATGTAATTAATAGACTCGGCTACTAATATGACATTTGAAACAACTTGATAGCTTGCAGTTTCAACACTTTTTCAACAAAGTATGTAAACTACAATACTTAGTTAGAATGATGCGCCGAGCTTAATGCATGCAAGACAATGGATGCTTTATACATGGAAAATGCTAAACAAAATATGATGTGCTACACTATCCATCATAAGCGGGAAAATAAAAGGGAGAAAGGCGTGAGGTTGGAAGACATACACAATATTACATATTTTGCCCTCGCACAGGAGGGTCTGAATAAATGCCCTACCTAATTTAAGCTAACTAACTAGCTATTACAAACCAAATGAAATAAATTAATCAAATGGGTCATTTATTCTGCAATTAAAATTTTAAATAAGCAAGATGTAATTTTCAGAATCACATGAGATAATTTATATTTCACGCAAATATATTTGTAGATTTTCCGGGGTCGGGGAAACCCGATCCTTGTTAGGAGGCGGGGGTGGGGGGAGTGATGAGTTCCCCGCCGGGGATCGGGGACGGGGACGGGGAGTTTTGCAGCTTCGGGGATCGGGGACGGGGAAGGTGATCCCCAGCCCCGCCCCGTTGCCATTCCTAATTAAAATAAGGGTGTATTACCCTAACAATCCTTATAGTTTGGGGTCCGTGTCAGTTTGGTCTCTGACTTTTCAATTGTGACACATTCGATCCTGAATTTTGAATCTTGTTTCAAATAAGGACAATTGAAGAGACCATTGTTTAATTTCAAGGGCAAAATCGTCAATTTAATAAAATATAAACTAATTTGACAAAAATAAATGTCAAAAAAATATTTTAAAATTTTAAAAAATTATTTCTACCCATCAAAGATAAAAATCATGTAAAATTGATAAATTTTTTACACGTTTATTTATTTATTTATTTTACAAAATTAATTTTTATTATGTGTTTGAATAATGATCATGTAATGGATGATTGTTAAGATTATAATGTGTAATCGATATATTTAATATATATGAAATGTTTTTAGTTTTGGATTTTTGATTTAATGGATTGGTTTAATAATGATATTAAAATTGTCGCCATATTTGACTTTTGAAAAAATAAAAACTAATTTAATGAAAATAAAAACTAATCATTACATGATCACCATCCAAATACATAATAAAAATTAATTTGATATAAACAAATAAATATATAAATGTCTAAAATATTTATCAATTTTACATAATTTTTTCTTTAGTGGGTAGAAATAATTTTTAAATATTCAAAAATATTTTTTTGAAATTTATTTTTATCAAATTAGTTTATATTTTATCAAATTGACGATTTTGTCCTTAAAATTATGCAATAGTACATTTAATTGTCCTTATTTAGAACAAAATTCAAAATTTTGAATCAAATGTGTCACAATTAAAAAATGCGAAACCAAAATAACACAAATTCTAAACTATAGAAACTATTAATTTAATTTGCCCTTAAAATAACCTATCTTATTCTGTATAATTATTTTAACCCCTACTTTTAACCGAAACGAAAGCGTAGGCTCACTCGAGTATTTAGACAGAGGGAATAGAAGGTTATAGAAGACGACTTTGTACCAGTAATGGGTGAAATCGGGAATAGAAGGTTACGAGAAAAATATAATGGTAATTAGATATCATTAAAAAAATATAATTTGTATGATTGAAGTTATCTCTTTTTATTTATAATTTGATTTTTTTAATATGATTAAAATTATATAAACATAAACACTTATAAAAAGAAAAATGTGATTATAGTTTGTTCAATGTTTCTAAATAATCTTTTTATTTACTATTTTAATGGTTCTTTTTTTCAATTATTTTTTTTATTATGAGAATAATGTGATTGTAATTAGATAGCATTAAAAAAAATGTGATTTGTATGAGTGAAGTTATCTCCTTTTGTTTATAATTTGATTTTTTAATATAATTGAAGTTAGATAAATATAAACACTCAAGAGAGTTTTTAAGCAAAAGGGGGTTTTTAACCCCAAGGTCTGTGGGAGTTTCAATATCTCAATCTGAATTTTCTAAATTTTTTATTAAAAAAAAACTCAGCATTTATTGATTTGGTCAAAATTCCCTAATCAGCATTTATTAATTTTTTTCAATCCACATGCCTGTATTTATTGATTTGGTCAAAATCTTCTGATCAGCATTTAAAATCCTCTCATACAAATAATTATAGATACAATCTGTGTATAGTTACTGCAATACCCTTTTTAATTTCTCTCATACACTATGGTCAGTGATAAAATTGTTAAATTATTTTTATAAAAAATCTTAAAAAAACATAATTTATATATTAAAAAAAATCTAAAAAAATCTAAATATTTATAATTATTCCATGCATAACACGGGTAATAGGCTAATAATAACAAAATAAAAGGACAAATGGGCTGATTTTGCGAATCAATATCCTCTCTTTTATCTATTTCGTTACGAATAAAGATTGGTAGGTTGAGGTTATCGTGGCTCGATTGTCCCGAAATGTAAAACGACGTCATTTTGTCTTTTTTTTTTTTTTTGGTTTTTCTGCTCTTTTTTCTCTGAAACAGGAAGTTTTTTTTTTCCTCTCTTCTTTGAAACAGAGAGAAAAAGGGAAGAGACAAAAAAGAGAAGAGAGAAGGAAGAGAGAAGAGGCGATGGCAGCGTGGCGGAGGCAATGGCAGGACCGTGAAAAAAAAAAAAAAAAAAATAAAAAAGACAAAACGACGTGGTTTTACAATTTGCGACAATCGAGCCACGATAACCTCGAGCTACCCATTTTTATTCTTAAAGTGCATCTCACATCCTCAACCAAACAAACCCCGACACACAGGCATCAGTTACACTTTATCGCTGTATTCGTATCCTGCAAGAAAGGAAAGCAGGACTAATATGGACTCGGAGTTACAGTTCTTCCATTTCTTCCTCTCCTTTGAAAGAAACTTCTTTTCAATCTCCTCACTATCACCATAAAGCCTATTTATATGTTTCTTTGTGCGTTCTATGCACATTCATCTCTATTGTTCTAATTTCTTGAATCTATCATCGTACTTCGTTTTGAATCTCAATGGATGTGGATGGAAAAAGGAATTCTTCGCTGCCTTCGAACTACGTTACCCTGGTTCAACTCCAAGAGCGATGGCTCAAAGAACAGCAGCGAAAGCAGGCCGAGAGTGAGGAGGAAGAAAAGCGGAAGCAGAGAGAGAAAGAAGAACAGGAACGAAAGCGTGAAGAACTCGAGAATCAGATGAAGAGGCATCACGAGAATGTTGAGAGAAGCAACAAGACGAACACTGTGCCTCGTCGGCGGTTTAACGTGAATCGCGGGAATCAATCGGAGAAAAGTTCTAGAACGACCGGAGTGAGCGAGAAGAAGGCGGAGGAATTGCTAATCGGACCGATTGTGGTTCATGATGAGGAACGGAAAATCGATGAATCGACGAAAAATAAGTCGAAGAAGAAGAGAAAACCTAGCAAGGAGGAAGACCAAACCAGAGCTGAGAAGAAGATTCCGGTGGTTGTGAATGAGGGGAAAGGTGAAAAAGAGGTGAATACCAGTGAAATCAAGCGAAATGCCAACAATTTGCTGATGAATGTTATGGGTGGGGAGAAGAAAGTCCCGGTTGATCGATCAGTGGAAATCGGACGGAAATTGGAGGATCTTTCACTGAGTGGTGGGAAAGGAGGCCATGGAAGATCGTCTGGGAAGTGCGATAAGGTTTCTGGAAAGTTCCATAGCCAGAAACTGCAGAAGCCGAGAGATTCAAACTTGGTATGGGTTAGAAAAGGTGAATCTTCTGGTGTCAGTGTTGCTTTGAGATCAGGTAAGTATTGATACTGTTCCTGTATATAATTCGAAGCTTTCCCAATGCTCTTTGTTTTGTTTAACTATGAGGTTTTGAAGTTATTAGCTACTTTAAGAATGCCCTTATATTGCAATTGTGTAGCAAGTAAACTCATAACACATGCTGTGAATAAACAATGCGTTGAACATTATAATATTACATTTTATTAGTAGTTAGCTTGGAATTTTAAAAAACAGAAATGGTTGAGGGCTCGAAAAGGAGGGGCTCGAATGGTCCGAATGGGTGTGCACTGGACGTCGGCCCAGACGACCGGGCGGACGTCAACCGGGTGAAAAATTGTCCACGGTGGATGTCACCTTTGTTGACCGCGGCTGTAAGCCTTCTCACCGGACGTCCGCCCGGACGACCGACAAGACAAATTTTGAGCCATTCAAGCCAACCTCCTTTTCGGGCCACCTAGCATTGTTATTAAAAGAATTGTATGCAGACAAAATCAAGTGAGTTAAAATCAAATTTTCCATTTCCAAGTGTAGCAGCTGATGAAATCTTTATGTCAAGGCAATTCTATTCGCGAGAGACAGATAACCATGGCATATGGCATATGAAAAGTGTGTTTTATTTCAAATGCATGGGGTGAGTGGTTGTCATTGTTATAACTTTAGGGGTAAGTGTTCAGTGCCATTTGCCCTGCTAGAGGTGAGTGGTTGTCATTGTTAAAACTTTAGGGGTAATTGTTCAGTGCCATTTGCCCTGCTAATGTAAAGACTGATGCTACAGTTCTTCCCATTGAGAGTCTACACTAATTCTCTAGATTTTGCCTAATAAATTTGTGGCTGAAAAGTAATAATCTAGAAGTTTCAATCACCTCCTCTATTGGAGGCTTCTAGGATTTTTCTTGTATAGAAACTGACCTCCAAAGTCGGTTCAAGAACCTATGTGTATAGGAAGTATGGCTTCACGGGTGTGTGTGTACTTTTCCTTGAGTACTCTTCTTGATTAAAGAGGAGTGCTTGGACAATGGAAAGCCTCTTTTAAGCAATAAATTCTGCTGGGATCCTTATTGATTCGATATCTAGCCTTGCTAGACTTCCAAGTGGTGGCCAAGACATGGCTTTCCATTTTGAATTTGAATTCAAACATGTCTTATCATCTACTTCCCATCACATCCTTATAAATATTTCATTCTTTTCCTCACAACTTACTTTCTTCCAATGCCATAGTTTGAGCTTGCTTTCCCAGGGCTACCAAAAGATCTACCGCTGTAGCAAAGGACCCTAAAAGCGTGGGTCTCTTAAGAGAGAAAGAACCACCTATTTTCTTGGAGCATTTGATCCCCACTCTTCCCTTGGTCCCATCTGCTTCTCAGTCTCAATGTGGATTTGGCCTTAACTTTCAAGAATTAGAATCCTCCATACTTGAGCCATTATTATCCTTGGATAGAGAGTTATCTTCCTTTCGCTTCTGTAAACACACCAGATTGGGAGGGATATGCTTGGGTTCGCCTATTCAACTGTGGCCTCAAGCCAATTATGGGTATGTAGAATGGCTAGATAGAGTGGCTGCTGTCAAGGCCTCTCGTTGGAAGGAGATTGTCATTCACAACATCATTATGTTAAGCCGTTCGGTTCTACTCTGAAACTTGATAAAGGCTTGCTGCTTGCTGCTTGTGATTTCTGGCCTGTATCTACTGACTTCTTCCACTTTAGATTTGGAACAATGGCCTCTACGTTGCAAGATTTAGGTTTCATTGATGGCCTTCGTCCTCATGCAGAGGAGGCTAATGCCTTGATCTGCGATAAGAGTATTTCCTTCTTCTAGCCCAGCAGGAAAGACCTTTCCTATGGGTATTTCCTTTCTCAGAAGAAAAAGGAAGATATTGAAGTTACCAAGGAGAGGAGAGCACATATCTTTCCTCATCTATTGGTTGACCAAATTCATCTTTTGTGTCTCATCCAACGAAGTCACCAAAGACTGTGATCTCACGAAGTCCTTTTCTGCTGGATGAAAGTTAACCCTAGCGCCATTGGCCCTTGCCCACCTCTATAGAAGCTTAAAAGAGTTGGTAGATTCCTAGGCCTCGTTTGGAAGTTGGCTATTTTAGTGGGTTATTTTAGTTTTTGGTTATTTTATTAAGCTAATATTTTTGTATTTGGGAAGAATATTGGATTTTTTTGCAGTTGGATGTTATGTTTGTGAGAGAAAAAGTGAAATGATTATGGGTTTGATGTGACATTTCGTCTTATTGGCTATTTTAACATATTTTGTCTTTTTGTGAATTTTAGCCAAAAAGGCTCAAATTTGGCTTCCCAAACACCGCCCTAATTTACTAGCAGAGTTGGACCCTTATGGCTTCTTCTACTCTGGTTTTGTGCCTTGTAATGACCGGAAAAAGTTAAACTTTTAATTTTTATAATTGTGCCCCAATTAAGTTTAATTAATCTTAATTAAGCCCACAAGTTTTCCTATTTATTTTAGTTTAGACCTCTGTTGGTTAACTTTCTATGCACCCAATTATCTTAGTTTGCGTGCACCAAATCCCGAGCCAACCTGGGGTCCAAGGGATAGACCCTCCGGTTCCAATAGATGATGTTAATGTGACCATAGGGTTGATCTTGTTAAATTATAATTTAATTGCTTATTGAGAAAGGCAATGCAACAATAGTCTTGAGTTGCATGTACTTAGGCCTAAATTGGCACGAGGTTCGAGAGATGGACTCTCCAAATCCGGTATTAGATGTTAATATGTTAACACAGTATTATTTAATATTTTAGAGACATTTAGACATTTTGGTGAATTAGGAATTCCAATGCACAATTTGTCTCGTTATGTGCACATGCAAGATCGATCTGATTTGAGACTCAAGAGATGGCTCTCTGAGCCCAGTAATTATTATTTTTTTGTTATTTATGTATGCTTTATTTATTGTAGTTATTTCTGCAAATTTCATGCAATTTTAGTACAAAAAATGTATAATTTTTGTATCCAAACTACACAGATTTGAGCTAGGGCTTTGGAGGGAAGCCCAAAACCCTTAAATAATGTAAAATGAATAAAAATTAGTCCAAGAGGCGTCAACCAACCAGCCTCCTCTCTTTCCTCTTCTCTTCTTTTCTTTTTCCTCTTTATACCCTTTCCTTGCACTTTGCTCCTTTACTTACACAGGTCATGAAGAGGAAAGGAGGCATCATTTGTTGTGCCAATCACATTTTAGCATATATAACCCTATAATATATGTACAATGGATAAATTACACTTTGCCCCTTTCATGTTTGGCCACTTTCTCATTTTGACCCTTAAAATTTGTTTTTCCCCACTTTGGCTCTTCATGTTTCAAGTTTTTCTCAATTTACTCCTAAAGCTAACTTATGTTTAAAATTAGGTAGAAAATGCCACGATAACTGTCACATAACATAAAAAACATATTATTATATTGGGATTTGAGTTTGTTTAAGAGGTGTGCGAGTTATATATAACAAAATATTATTATGCCACGTGATTGTCAATGTGTCGTTTTCTGTCTAATTTTTAACAAACGTCAACTTTAAGAGTAAACTGGAAAAACTTGAAACATGAAGGGCCAAAGTGGGAAAAACAAACTTTAAAGGCTAAAGTGGGAAAGTGACCAAACATAAGGGCGGGCAAAGTGTAATTTAGCCTATGTATAATTGTATGGAATTGAAAATGGTGGGTTGTGATTGAGTTCATTATAACTAGATGTATTTTTGGCCTTTGGATTAAAGTTTAAGTTGGATTAATTAGGTGGTTAAGTTGTCATCTTTTGCAAGAGTTATACAAAGGCTAGAGAGAGAGAAAGAGAAGACACGTTCCCTCTATTCCCTCCCCCAATCGAGAGCTCTCTCATCCTCTATAATTTTTGGTTTTCTTCATCTTCTTCGTCGCATACTCTTAAAACTCTAACCCTAGTTCCACCATTATTGAACCTTGGGTGATTTTGTGAACTAGAAATCACAAACAAACACTTAGAGAGTGCCTTGTGAGCTTGAAAACACACTTTGGTGTTGGATTTGAAGATCAAAGCTTCAAGGCTTGGTGTGTTCTTGGTGTTCTTAGAGCATTCACCTTTGCTACCTCATTCCCTCATTATTTGTATTGAAAAATCTTCAAGTAAATGTAGGAGTTCTCTCATTTTCTTTTTAGACCAACATGCTAGGGTTTGTTTCAAATTAACCTTTTGATTTCATGAGTTTATGGCATGATTTGGTATGAATAGTATGATTTAAATTGTTTTGATTTAAATCCACAAAATACACATGTTAGTTTACGGAACTTTGAATTAGTTTTTGAGTTAAAGTTAGATTTTTATATTCTAAACTTGAAATGTGTTTTAGTTGGTTGATTTCATGAATTTAGAGTATAATGTTGTCATGTTTCATTTAATTTCATGAGATACAATATTTAATAAATTTGGGGCTTTTTGCTCAAACATCAAAAAGTGTTATATATATCATATTCTAAGACTTTTGTTGTAAAGAACATAATTTTTGGACAACTTTGGATTTTTGTGAAATCTTCAAAGTGTTGGAAACTAGGAGAAAATAATGTAGTTATACTAATCATGGGATTGAATAGCTTAGTTAAAAAGATGGTTTGATTTGATTGAGGTTTGCTATTTTTCTAACAAGTTTTGCATACTAGTTTCTTAAATAAATATGTTCCTATGATTGTTTTAATGCTTGATTTACTTTAATGGATTTGTTGGATTATTTAACGATTTTAGAGACTATTAAGGGCTAAAATGGTAATTTTGGCCACTTAAGGGTAAATTAACTTGGGATTAAAAATAATTTGGCCACTTTAGGGTAAATTAGTCCATTAAAAGTAATTTGGGTGAAATTCTTGAATTTATCATATAAGTGATTAACTTGGGATTAATTGGGGTAATGGTAAATGATCTCTTGAGGGCATTTTGATAATTTTTGATTTGAGGATAATTTGGTAGGTTATGCCTTAGGGTATTTAGGTCAATCATGCCTTAGGGACATAATTGTAATTTGAC